TCTTTAGAGCTAGGATTTCTTTCAGGGCAGGACTTTCTGAAACCTTTCCATCAGTGGTCCCTTTAAGAGAGCCAGGCCACTGAATCTCCTCCCCTCTGCTGACTCTCGGCAGTCCAGCGCTTTGCTAGCTAGGGCTGCCAGGTCATCCAGATGTAAGAGGGCTAGTCTGGTCCATGGCCCGTTAGAGGAGAAAGGAAACAGAAAAAGAGGGGGAGAGCGGGAGAGGGGGGGAGAGAGAAAGAGAGAGGAAGGAAGGAAGGAAGAGAGGAAGGGTCTCTCCACCTGGGGGAGCCCCCAGATGCCGGGGCTAGGCTCGGGAACAATGAGGCTGGGATGATATGGCCTGGTCCCCAGCTTGGCAGTACTAGAATCTGCACCAGTGGGAAGGAATGGGACATCTGGGTTCCCCCAGGCGGCTTGCCTGAGGCCCTGATCCGCTCTCCTCCTCTGCCAGGCTAGGCCAGGCTAGGTTCTCTCTGGCCTAAGCCACCAGCTGGGGTTTCAGAAGCCTTTCCCAACAAACTGAGCTACCAAGTCCCAGAGAGTATTGCCATGAGGCTGGACTGGGGATCGATCTGTGTTTGTTTCCAAGTCAAAGGACAGGGGCAAGCTAAAGGGGAGGGCAGGAGGGGAGGAGAAAGAGGAGGTGGAGAGGAAGAAGAAGGAGGAGGAGGAGGAGGAGGAGGGAGGAGGAGGGCAGGCAGATCCGCCCACAGCACAGGTGCTGCTGAGCTGGCTGGCTGGGGCCCCTGAGGGCAGGACCCACCGCGACCACGTGGGGTCTTGTAAATTCACCAGCCCTGCACAGTAAAAGGCACTAGAGAAGGGCGGGGTGGGGAGGTGGGGGGGGGTGGAAGGCTTTCACTGCCTTTGGCATTTCTGAGCAGTCTGCTGCAAGCAGCCATCTTGGTAAGAGGTGATGTCATTTAAAACATTCTCCGGGTTTTTGAGCTTATATTGTTAGGTCCCATTTTCCAGGCCACAGTTAGTAATGGCCTGGTTCAATAGTTATAGGAAATTTAGGGGAGATGAAAGCCACATCTCTCCCCTGGTTAACATTGTGCACATCTTTTAAACATCTAAGTGTGTGTGTGTGTGTGTGTGTGTGTGTGTGTGTGTGTGTGTGTGTGTGAGAGGGAGAGAGAGAGAGAGAGAGAGAGAGAGAGAGCCAGAGCGCCAGGGCTCCCCCAATTTCATCTGGCTTTCGGATAGAGTGTGTTGTTTTTTCAGTTCACTAAGCTCTGATAATGAAACAAGTCTGCTCAGTTTCACTGCCCGGTTTTGAAGCAGGAGCAAAATGTGGCTTTGTTTGCAATTGACATGCCTATCACTTAGTGGCACAGTTCCCTGGGCCCAGTGGGCCTGGCTTCTTGAATTTGACAAAACTTCCAGGTTACCTGGGACCTTAAAGATCATTACCTCAATACTTTTGCTTTAGAACCTGAAGGAATCGTAGATGTGGAGCTTCAAGAGACCTTACATATCATTTAGTCCAACACTCATTTTACAGATGAGAAAAGAGGCAGAACTGGAATCCAGGTCTTTTGAAGCCAAATCCAGGACTCTTCTATCTGTCATCTGATTGAAAAAAAAAAGTTAAGTGATTTCATTTTCAAGCACTTAAGACTTTTCTGTGAGTGTTTAATTTGGTAAGGAAAAATGAATGGTCAGGTCCCTCATTAGCTATATCACTTCTCCTCTCTGGGCCTCAGTTTCCTCAGCTGTAAGATAGAGAAAATGATTGCATTGTCTATGTAGGAGCAATCAACTGACAAGCCTTTATTAAATGCCTACTGTATGCTAGGGGCAGCTGGATGGCACAGTGGATAGAGCACCATGCCTGGAATTAGGAAGACCTGAATTCAAATATGGCCTTAGATACTTACTAGCTGTGTGACCCTGGGCAAGTCACTTAACTCTTTGCCTCAGTCTCCTCACCTGTAATATGAGCAGGAAAAGGAAATGGCAAACCACTCCAATATCTTTGCCAAGAAAACTCCAAGTGGGGTCACAAAGAGTTGGGCACTACTGAAATGACTAAACTACAGCCAACTGTGTGCTCGGCACCAGATCGTAGATTTAGACTTGAAAGGGACCTAGAATTCAATCCCCTCATTTTAGAAATGAGGAAACAAGGCCCAGAGGGCCAAAAATGACTTGCCCAAGTACACGCAGGTAGCAGAGCACCTAGGTGTCAGCATATCACCACACCAGGCTCCTTTCCTTCCCAAGATTCCAGAGCTACAAAGGAGCAGAGATGGGCTTCAAGTTACCAAGCTGTGCTCAAATTGGAGATCGGAGCTCTTCCTATCCCTATCCCGGGAGCCCAGCACTTGGCAACCAGCAGTCCTTGGCAACATAGACAAAGTAAGGGGAATTCCTTCTGTACTATTTGTGCTCACCTTTAGCTTTTATCAAATCAGAGGGAGAGTATGTCGAGAGACCTATGGCCGTCACCAACAGGGTGTCCCAAAAGCTATCAAAGTTTCAGACTGCACAAAGACTTTTGGAACCCTGTAGGCCACCTAATGCTATCAAATGCTAACTTCATACAGATAGAGTAACTGAGGCACAGAGAATCTAAGGGGCCTGCCCAGGGACACACAGGGTACAATCAGCAGAGACAAGATTTGTATGGACCCAAACTGTTGGACTCCAAATCCAAGGCTCTTTGATTTTCATCCCTCTGCTAAAGAAAGGCAGCCAGAGGAGAAAAGACAAGATAGGGCCAGGCATGAGAGACAGACAGGCTGAAACCTACTCAGAGCGGCGTGACCCACCCGGATGATGTTCCTGTCCCCACCACCCTTGAGATCAGAACAGGAAGAAGCCTGAGAGGCTGGTCTAGGGCATCATTTGGGAGGCAGAGGCCTTCTTTCAGAGGATGCCTCCATATCGGTGGATATAGTACATCCTCCTTCCTACCCTGCCCTGGTAGAATATAAGCTTCTTAGTATTTTTAATCTTAGTCTTCTTAATGCCTACCATGGTACCCTTCACATAATATCCTAGAACCATAAATCTAGAGGTGGAAGGGTCCTTAGAGGCCATTTAGCCCAACTCCCTTATTTTACAGATAAGGAAACTGAGGCACAGAGTGAGGTTAAGTGACATAGCCAGGGTCACAAAACTAGGAGACATCTGTGGTGGAAATTGAATGCAGGTCTTCCTGACTCCATGTCTAGTTTCCTCCACTACGCTGCACATTTACAGACCAGGGACACAGTACTTGTTTGTTGAATTCCATATCAGTTCCAAGTGTGGCCTGGATTTCCAGCTAAGCCTAGAGCTTTAAAGAGGAGAGACACTGTTTTAGACAAGACGCGGTGGTGCCAAGCTCTTCTGGGGGAGAGAAAGGCTGGAAGTGGCAGACATGTGGGGGGAGCAAGCTCCCCGATAAGGCCTTGATTTCCAGCCTGCCTCCCTAGACACTTCCAGAATGCTGGGGTCTCTCTGTTGTTTGAATTGAGATCTCAACTCTTCCCCATCTAAAGAGCACATCCACTCTGTGAACATTCTGGTATATTCTAATCCAGGGGTGAGGAGCTTGTGACCTCCAGGCCACATGTGGCCCTCTAGGTCCTCAATCGCAGCCCTGTGACTGAATCCAAACTCACAGAACAAATCCCTTTAATAAAAGGATTTGTTTTGTAAAACGTGGACTCTGTCAAAAGGCTGCACCCAAGGACCTAGAAGGCCATATGTGGTCTTGAGACTGCAGGTTCCCCACTCTCAGATTAGGAGGTGTTTGTTTGTTTTTGGAACCAACGGCCCTAGACCAGCAATGTTGGTAGGGGTTGGGGGTTACTGGTGGGGAATGGAATCTAATTCCAGATTACTACCTGTTTCAGAGACTAGAAAACAGAGTATTCAGCCTTGCGATCATGCTCCCTCCAGGCAGGAATTACAAATGTCTCTCATAGAGAGAGGTAGGCAAGTTTCCAGAGATAAGTACCAAGGTCTCCAGAGAGCCTCATTTAGACAATCCATTCATGTGGACATGCACTTCTGACATGGGAGTACACACCTTACACAGGTATAAATATATCATATAATAGAATATAATCTCTCTCAGGGAGGAATGTTGGGTTTTATATCCCTGGTGCTTAGCACAATGTATAGCCCATAAGTGCTTAGTAACTGTTTTTTGAATTAAATATGTACTTGTATAGTATATGTAGTATGTATACATGTGTATATATATGCACACACTACATATACTAGGCTCTTTAATTAAAATAAATTCAGCACATAGCACAGGATCCCACAAAGAGTAGTCACTAAATGTATTTGTTGAATTGAATACATATTTATTTATAAATGTTACATTGTACTGATGTATTCTCTATGGTAGACTGTAAGCTTCCTGAGGATAGCACAATGCCCAGCAATCAATCAACAAGCATTTTATTAAGTGCCTACTGTGTGTCAGGTGTTACATGCTTCTTGAATCAAATGCACAAACATGTTTTTATATAATATGTAGTCAGAGAAAAACTCTTTGAGGTCATGACTTTTTTCATTTGTTTTTTCAGTACTCACCACATGCCTGATAGGCGTGTAATCTTTGTTAATGTGAATATATCTCTTCCTATGATAAACAGAATGCATTCTATGAAAAGCATGCTGTCTAATGGAGAAAGAGCTGGCATCAGAATCTGGAAGGCCAAGGTTCAAAATCCACCCAGGCTACAGACTGGGTATAATAAGTCACTGAATGTTTCAGCGCCTCACATAACTTTCTAAGCCTCATAGTATCAAAAAATGCCAAGGTTCTACACTAGCTGAGGAAGTTTCTTACCAATACCTCGGCACCTTGCTGAAGTCATCTGTCAAAACCCCCCAAATTAAACAGTGACTGATGGTTGGAGGTAAGCTCCTGAAGCCGGAGAATTTTCTTTTGTGTGTTTGTGTCTTCAGCACCCAGTAGGTGCTTAGTAAAAGCTTGTTTAAGTAAATACAAGCACATACTCATATATGACTGCATTCTATATGTTAGAATGAAGCTCCTGGGAGCCAGTAACTGTCATTTCAGTCTTTGTCTTCAGTACCTGCCACAGCGCCCAGTGCGTTGTAATGACTTGATAAGATGCTGGGGTGTGTGTATGTGTGTGTAAATGTGCACATGTATGCAAATACACATACAGCTACAGATTATATAATCCATATACACGTGTACAATATGTATATATACAAATATGCGTATATATACAATACACTGAGCATTTTATACACATATATACACATGGACACAAATATATACACAGAATAACATGTATGTACTGTATATATGTAAAATATGTATCTACACACTCTGTATACACACAAGTGCAGGCATCCAACACATATACATATTAACACGTACTATACACACACCCATACACATATGGTATCCCAAAAGTCTTAGTGCAGTTTAAAACTGTTAGTAGTTTAAAACTGCACGAAGTCTTTTGGAACACCCTGTATGCACACATACATAGATAATACAATATTTATGTACAATGTATATACATACACATGATATCTACACACATTTTCATATACATATATACCCTGTATACATACATGTATACACACATATCTACACAC